ATATTATATTTTGTTCTTATTATTTATACATCTCTTACACCTCCCATTCAGTCCCTACATCTACTATCCTGGTGTTCGTCCCCCTGAGAGGGGTTATTCCACCATCATTGTTATCTGTTCCCCTCCCCTCCCGCCCCACCTTTCCCTTCCCTTCCCCTCCTGGAATTGTTACTCCATTACTGTTTCTGAGGGGTTTGTCTATCCTGAATTCCATATGGTGAAAGCTCATTTGTAACCAATGTATATACAACAGTCTAGCAGGATTTTTGAGATAGGGCTGAGATCATAATAGTTGGGGGTAGGAAGGATTAAGAAACTAGAGGAGCGCTGTGTGCTTTGTTGGTGCTAAACTGTCTCTTGGATATATTTTGTCTTCCTTGAGCCCCTCTGCACGGGAATGTCCACTTGTCCACAAACGGGCTCGGCGTCACTCATGAAGGGTTTTAGGTTGACTTCCATGGTGTGCAGTTCCCAACTGTTTATGACAGAGTTTCATTTCAACAACTTAACTTCTTAAGATAGTTCTGATATAAATCAAATACCCTTTTTTCTTTTGTTAAATGTTCAGGATAATTTCCTATCAGTATCTTTACAAATTCTGTATTTTAATACCTTCACACGAACAACCAAGAATGACTGTGCTATTATTATTTGGTGTCAGCATGTCAGTCCCCACAGAGAGGGACACTGTGTACAACAGAAAGGAGCCCTGATCATGTAGTGGTTATGAGTTGGGCTATGATCCCCATGGTCAGCAGTTCAGCACCACCAGCAGGTCCTCTAGAGAGCACTGGGCTTTCTAGTCCTTTAAGCAGTTATAGTCTGGAAAACACAGGGGGCTGCTGTGAGTCGGCATTGACTTGACGTACAACAGAACAGAGCATGCTCGGTCCTGTGCCATCCTCACAACTGTTCCCGTCTGTCAGTCCATCGTGCACCACTGTGTCAGTCCATCTCCCTGAGGGCCTTCCTCTTTTCATTGCCCCTCTACTTTATCAAACAGACAGCCTTCTCCAAGGACCGGTCTCTCCGGATCATATACCCCAAGTAGGTGACTACCATTCAAGAATGGTGAGATCAGCAAATTACCCACTGCAACACTTCATATCAGTGCATCTTACTAAAGATAAGTGGATTTTTAATGACCAAATACTAAATAAATAACCAAACCCAGATGGCACACATGTAATCTGTTACAACATTAGGGACTCCCTGTAGTGAGGAGAGCATGTTAGCATATTCTTAGTGACACTTGCCTATGGTTATGAGGAGGAAGCAGGAGAGCAAGTGTCGGTGAGAGAAGAGGAAAACTTGAGAAGGTGCTTGCTGTTGCCCCAACTCCACCTTATGTCACTTGTGTGGTGACAGTACTATTAAGTGAGGTAATGTGTAGTACAACTAATGGAAAACTTAAAAAATATCTTTAATCACTATTTAATTCTCCCCCCCCATCTTAAATCATTTGATCACAGCTGCCTTAGTGGAAATCCCTATGCAAGGAATCTTTTCCCGCTGCCCCAACGCGCCCCCTGCTGGTGATGTTAGCATGCCCTAAAGTTGTTTAAGGAACAGCAAGTGCTCCAGGCGGAGAGCCAGCAAAGGGCGATGGATGCGCAAAGCTTTCAAGCGATTCTCAGATGGCGTGTTGCTACTGGCAGGTGCCGTAGAATCGACTCCACCTCCAGCAATCCTTGAGTGCCAGAGGAGAACGATGTTCCCTGGGGTTTTCAAAACTCTGGCCTTTCAGGCAGACCACTAGGCCTGCCGCTGGAGGTACCTTGACGGTGCGGTTGACCTGCTCACTCAGTCTGGGAGTTGAGTATTCACTGCCAACACCACTGAGCACCCCACACCAATGACATTTGCACCCACGAACGAGGGAGCCTGAACTCTGTTACCTTGTCGTTCTCAGGAACGAAACGGCCATCAGGGCTCCGCAAGCTACCAACTTTGGAGCTGGAGATCTCTCTGTGATTCTGAAGGCATATGTGTTGGTGACGTCCCTAACCCCTTTGCGTGCCTTCATTCATTCAACCGGCACCGTGTGGAGCCCCCCGAAGAGGAAGCGCTTCACTGTCAAGGTAAGGGCTTACCTGTCAAGGTAAGAACTCGGTGCAGATGAGCTGCCTTTCCCCCACCTTCATGAGGACCAATTCCCACTGAACACAGACTGCATCTTTGTATTGCTACAGATGGAGAATTTCCTTAATGGGTCCAAGTTAAAAAAGGAATTGGAAACAGACAAATTCACTAGGGATCACTGAGACATCTTTTTCCCCCCAGCTCGTCGTTTTAGTTCCATTCTTTAGCCT